GCATCTCTGCTTGGGCTTTGGCGGTGGAGGAGTGCTCTGGCATGCTGACCCCCCCCCCCCGGGGCGTGCTCACCCTGTGGTGTTCAAGATGGGGCAGCCGTGCTAGTCCGCCTGTAGCAGCAGAAAAGAGGAAGAGCCCCCGTAGCACCTTAAAAGACTAGCAACCTTTGACATGGTTGATGGGTTTCCATTCTGTACAGCTGAATGTGGTGCCTTCCGTGGAGACAGTTCAAGATTAGGTAGCCGTGTCAGTCTGTCTGTAGCAGTAGAAAAGAGCAGGGGTCATTTTGTAGAAAAAGAGGTGAAGGGGCTCATTAGCATAACTCATTTGCACAACTCATTTGCATATGCCACACATACCCCTGACAACACCGGAAGTGTGTCAGAAGGCAACACCCACCGCTCAGGCTCCACTGGACTGTTTTGGATTGCTAGCTATTGGGGGGGGGGGCGGGCAGATCTGCCCTCACAGAGGGGGGAGAGCTTGTACCTGAATAAAACTTGGTCTTAAAGGTGCCACTAGACTGTTTTGGACCGGGGGGGGCCTCTGCCACTTACCTGGCTGCTTCTTGCTCTGACTGAGGGCTGCTGGGAGCAGGGGGCGGGGCTTGTTGCATGTGCCCGCCCCCTGGGCTCTTTACTGCCGGAGATCCGCTCCTGTGCGCTCCTGCAGGACATGACCCCTGGAAAAAAGTCTAGTAGCGGCTGAAAGACTAACAAAATTTGTATCTAGATCCAGGTGGGGTAGCTGCGTTGGTCTGAAGCAGCAGAAGAAAGTTGGAGTCCAGGGGCACCTTTCAGACCGACAAAGTTTGATTCAAGGCATCAGCTTTCGTGCGCGTGCACACTTCTTCAGCTATCCGAAGAAGCGTTTGCACACAAAATCTTAAGCCTGGAATAAAACATACCTCGGATAAAACTTTGTTGGTCTTAAAGGTGCCGCTGGATTCAGACTTTGTATCTGAAGAAGTGAGCCGTGACTCATGAGAGCTCCTCCCCTGCCACAAATGTTGTTAGTCTTTAAAGTGCTACCGGACTCTTACTCTTTTCTACTGTGGTAGTCAACAACTCTGACATGCTGGCTTCTTCCTCCTCCTCCTCCTCCTCCCTTCTTGGGTTCCTTTGGGTCTAGGGTTGCCAAGTGGAACTTACCTTGGCGGCGGGGGACTCCCGGGTGGATCCCTAAGCGCGTGCGCACGCCGCACACACGTCACCAGGAAGTGACATTATGATGCCAGGCACACTGGGGGCGGGAGCATGACCATACAAGGGAAAACCATAGAGTTTTCCCTTGTATGGCCGTGGCCATACCCGGCATGCCCGGCGTGCCCACGTCACTTCCGGATGACGCGCACGTCGGGGAGGAGTTCCCCCCGGGGGACTTGGGATCCCTACTTTGGGTCTCAGTAAATCCATCACCGCTTTGCAGCCTTAACTCCGAAAGGCAGCTGCCTCCCAGCTGCTAAACCTCCCGCTTCCACCTGCTCTAAGGCTCCAGGTTCCTTTGTCCATCCAGCTCTTATTGAACCGAGAGGTTTTACGGAAGAGATTTTTTGCTACTCCCCACCCCACAGCACATCTTTGACCCTAGACTCAAAAGCCGTAGGGCTAGGGTCCCCACCTCTTTGGAGCCTACAGGCACTTTGGAATTCTGACACATGGTAGTGTGGGCCACAAAATGGCTGCTGCAGGAGGTGGAGCCAAGCACCAAATGTCTGCCACAGGAGGCGGGGCCAAACCACAAAATGTCAGAGAACGAGGTTATGAATAACTCTGATAGTAAATCCTCAACATTTCAGGCTGAAGCGCTGTTTAGCAGGATGCCTTTTAAAATGAACATGGTGTTTTGAAATACTTTCCTGCATACATACAGCTTACCGTCAGTCACGCGGGGAAGATCCCTGTGCCGCGGGGGCAGCTGCTGCTGAAGCAACATTTTAAAAAAAAATCTCCACAGTCAATCAAGTCTCCAGTGGCCAATCAAATGTCCTGATGGACAAAAGCCCACTGGGTTTGATTCCCCACCCCTCCACATGCAGCTGCTGGTGTGCCCTTGGGTCAGTCACAAGTTCTCTCAGAGCTGTTCTCTCAAGGGC